CCCTTTTTTGCTCCTTTTCTTTCAGTGCGTATGAACTGTTTCCAAAGAAACTATCCTTTTAAGAATGAAGCGTCCATTTATTTTTTTCGGTTTATCCGATTTTCCAGCTGCTGGACGAGAGGCAAAGCACAAACGTGTTGCGTTTTCTTCAAGCAATAGATAGGTAAAAGGTTTAGTTATTGGAATTTTATCATGATCTCACTTTTGCATGGATGGTTGAGATTTATTATATCTTCTCTTTGCTTGAACAGGAGGCCTGACATTACTAATGGCTTGAGGACCCTGAGATGTCGAACCCTGATATTTGTGGGAGATGGTTCCCCTTTTTATGCAGAGGCCCTCCACATGATCGATAAACTGGACAGAAGATTCAGTGCCTTAGTTGAGGTATGTGACAAACATGCGTTTAGCATACTTGATAATAAAATACAAAGAATACCTTTTGTGCGCGTTACCTAGAATATTGGAGGATAATATGTTTAGAGAAACGAAGGTCATTTACCTTAAAAAAATGGAATAAAAAAATAATTGAAGAAAATGATAATTCAGAAGCATTCGATCTCATTTACAATTGATTATTGTAATTTTTCTTTGGGGTGGCAGGATATTTGTAGCTTTAAGAGATAAAAAAATCATTTAATGTTTTATTTGAAATCAGGCTAAATCTTATGACTATTTTTGTATATGAACTAAATATACATTTGGTATGAAACTGAATATCTATTTTAATGAACTAAATGTGCAACAATAATATCAATTTGTTTATTGCATTGTTTATGAACTAAATATGCGCTTCGTATGTACTAAATATGTATGCTACATATGCATTTTTTATGTACTAAATATGCATTGCGTAATAGCTTTAAGAGATAACAAAATCATTTAATCTTTTATTTTAAATTAGGCTATGACTATTTTTGTCATACTCTACCCTTCAATTCCTTCACATTTCGATTTGTTGAACTCCAGACTATAATTTGGTCTTAGATTACAAAGTCAACATATTTAGTCTTGTATGGAGACCAATGGATTTGTAGATTAGTGCTCGTAGGAATTGCAAAAGCTGTGCTAATCTAAGATGAAATTTTTTTAGGTACAAGCTTGTGGATCAATGGTCACGGAAGAGCAACCACAGGCAATGCTGACGTCTTTGGAATATTTTCTCATGGGCTACGGATTATATCGACCCAGTCAGTTTAGCGGCAGCCCGAGAAGCCCGTTAAGCCCGACATGTATTGCACCAGACCTCTTGTCTCCAGAAAGCATGGGATTGAAGCTAAAGCCTATCAAGACTCGTCTCTCTTCACAAAGATGATATTACTTCATTAGATTCATTTTTTTTTTTTCAATTGTGTACATTTGGAGCACCTATAGATTTGTTTGTTTTTTTCAATCATTTATTGGTTGTTACAATGGCTTGACTCTTGAGTAGGGTAGAGTTGTATGTAGATAGCAGAGGGAATTCTTTGTTGGATATAGTTGGGGAGTTAGGGTTTGGATTGTTCTTTCATTTGTAGTTGGTCGTGAATGTGTAACCGTTTGATTTGTTTGTGAACTTTTATAAGAGAAAATTGCGATGCTGACGAGGTATGAAACTATGAATAATGCATGCAGATTGTGACTCAAGTTACCGATGTTTCTGTGTGTTTGTGTGCTCGCTCTCTCTGTATGTGGGTGGGGTGCTTTTACAGCTACTCCCATAATAGCAGTTTTGCCAGTTGCAGTTTCAAATTGATGGTCAAGTAAAATTGACATTGATTTCTGTATGTAGTCATGTTGACAATGATTAGCATTCTTAACAGAAATGTAAGTTCCATGCATGAGTATGGTATTGTTTCCACGGAAAAGAAATTTTCTATTTTATTTCATCAATTTAATTATTATATATATATATACACATAATTAGAATGGGAGATGGTAAAATAAATAAGAAAGAGTCATATCGTGATATATCAACGCTCCAGCATTATTCAAATGGGCGGCGGTGACATTCTTATAATTATAAGTTCTTTTGATTTTTCACGCAATGACATTGTTGTCATTTTGCGGAATATAGTATTTACACTATTTTGCATTTTTACAGGTATTAATGTATCTTTGTCTAACAGTGTTAAGCTTTTTGTAGCGCAGTAACATTTTGGTAAATTTGTAAACTATTAAATACGCAGGCGATGACAATTTTTTAATATCGATAAATACATTAATATGTTTTATGTGCATTTTAACATGTAATATTGTGCATATCAACTATCATTATTGTGCATGTTTCTAATCTACATTGTGCAAATCCTTCCGGTAACGAGCTCCGCTTCTACCGGTGACGATTTCATGGGGGAGTTAAATACCTACCCATTTTTTAGCCCACTTGAAATTTAAAGGCAAAAGTTGTGTTGGGCCAGCCTAATAGGCAATTTAACTGAGGGCATATTGATAATATTCCAGGTACATGGACATGTTCTTATTCCTCACAACAGCCGCTCACCATTTTTTATTAGTAAATGTAAGTTTATAGATCAAACTGAAGTTACAACGACCGTCGTATGACAATAAAAAAGCATAGTGGCAGCAACCGCATGCTTAGCTCCTTACTCACAGATCAAATGTCTAAGAGCACAACCACATGTCGGTTGCTCACTCAAGTCCAAAAAACACAAAACATAGTGCGCATCGCGAGCGCGGCTGCATGTGCGTGGGCACAATGAAGTCTGCTCACTCTTAAGTACCAAAACAAAGGGAATGTCTAGCATGCCCCATGGGCTTTCCTCTTGAAGTCGACAAGAACATTTGGATGCAAATATGTGTTCCGATAGACACGAATCTGAATCTTCCGAGTAATGAGCTCCTGTGATTGGGTTTCATTATCAAAGATCTTTCTATTCCTTGCATTCCAAACAAAGTAGCTTTCTTTGCTTTGGTTTGCCATCCGTACCTTTGCGCCTCACTCTTGATCCATTTCAAGGCACTCATTAAAGTAGTCAATTGTTGGCCCAAGCCTATCCACAGTCGAATGACGGACCACACTTGTGCAGTTTTGGGTGCACTGCCACAAAAAGCACAGGCTAGGCACGTGTCTAAAAATCCAAGACAATCTTTGGTGCGTAGCCTGCCAAGTGATGCCACCCAAAGATTAAAGACATGATTTGGGGTGCTGCAAGGGCCCAGATCATTCCACTCCAAGACACGAGAATTCTTTGAGGTCTAAAGAACTTATAAACACATGAAGGCCCCTAAAGCTGAAAGTTTGAGTCCCATAGGCGCATTGCGGCTGCTGCAGTTTGCGTGCTACCCATCTTCTGAACCATCAAGTTTTAGATTTCGTAAAGATTCTTGAATAGAGGTGGATCACTCTTGTGGATGGTCCAGTTCCAAATGGATTTTTGCCGAAGGTAAATATGGTGAACCAATCAAAACCAAAAAGTATACTTCTTGGCATGTATATTCCAAAGTGTCCGGGCTAGCAAAGCGTGGTTCCAAGTCTTTAAGTCGCGTAGTCCTAAGCCTTCCTCCGAGCGCGATAGCCTTACCAGATGCCAAGCCACTGTTGCATTTCTCGAGCTGCAAAGGAATTGTCGGCAGCATTGGATAACGTTTGTGCGTACGACCGAGGAAAGCGGGAAAATAGTCATCCAAAAGCATTACACTCCCTGAAAAACCGATTGTATGAGTTCCAAGCGCCCCACATACGAAAGAGTGTATGTACTCTACCCGTTGATATCGTCCGCTATTTGGTTGACAAGCACATCAAATTAACCCACAGTGACCCTTCTAGCCGTAAGGGGAATACCAAGATAGCAGAAAGGCATAGAGTCGGGGCATAGGTGCATGCCCTGGAGAAACGCCGCTTGATCATCCCATATGTTTAACCAAATTCTCAATTGGGTTCTAAATTACTTTCCGAGAAGCTTCGTAAAATCTCAAATATATTCGATTGACCTAATTGTTTCTCAAATATTAACATGCTAACTTGATTAAACCAGTATATCCCAATTTGATCCGATTGACCTAATCGTGTCCTCGGCATCAACCCGACTCAACAATAAATTACATACAACCACTTACTTAATTACAAAATTAATTGGGCCTGCACCTCTCAAACCCATAACCAAGACAAAAGATCGTAAAGCACGCATGCCGATGTTTTTCCAATGCAGGTGTCGATCCTTCAACTGATGCTAACATGCCAATCTATCGAACTAATGTGAACAAAAGCTAGAAAAGCGGTTGCCCAATCAGTCTCATCATAACAAACAACACAGACATGTGTCCTTATGCATGTAGCTTTACCCGATACGTGTCCATCTTCCACACCCTTAGTTGGCATACGACAATCATTTCATTTTTTGTTTATTTGTGTATAAATTTCGCATTAAATGTATTCTAGGACCACCCATTCACATAGAAAAGAAATAAATACTCATTTTATTCGCAAGTTAGTCAATGCTGATCTCTCGTTAATTGGCGATCTTTGGGAGCAAATTGTTATCAACAAAGTGTAAACTGCCACCGTTGCAACTTGAAAGAAAATTCTTGAAAGGAAATTCTAACATCGGATGAATGATCAACACTTATCATATGCGTGATTCCAAAGACATGATTGGATAGTTTTGTACACCAATTGTCTCCTATTAAATAGACCATATAACGAGTTTCACAATTCCAATTGCAACTTATGATTCAATGTTACTAAACATTTAATAATATTCAAAAAATCGGCGCGTGTGATATTAGACAACAAATCATATTCGAATTTGATTATACGTACTGTCAGAGTTTAAATAAGTACGATCATTACAAATTCAACGTTGTTGTAGTACAATGATTTATAGGATAAGATTGGACTAAAATAGTGCAAATGTGAAGGATTGTACTGTTTGGATAAATATAATCCTATGTTTGTTATATGTAATAAGGATTAGGATAACTTTATCATTAAAAAGAAAAAAAATTATTTGTCGCCACAATTCAAACAAGACAGGATTGGAATAATCACACTCTTTACTTGGAAATTGGGATTCATTTATCCCATGAATAGGGGATAAATGCTATTTTATCCCGGGCGACCCAATCCACCGAACCAAATCGCAGGCCTGAATTAGACAGAATATCACGCCTAATCCAGAGCAAAGCAAACGAGAGCTTGATCTACGTAAACATGGAATCTAGGTATAAAAATAATAATAAATAAATAAATAAAATTAGTTAAATACTTCGAACGTGTGGGTCTCAATCGCCCGGCAACAGTCGGGAGTTAAAAAAACAAAAAAAATATATCAAATCCGAAAATAAATCGCCGTCGGTGGCGCTACGGCTGAGAATGGGCGGAGGAACGGTGATAATATTCGATTTCGACAGGACGCTGATTGAAGACGACAGCGACCGATGGGTGGTGACGAATATGGGCCTCGCCCAATTGTTCAATCATCTCCGATCTACATTGCCTTGGAACTCACTTATGGTCTCCATTTCTGTCTCTGCACATTATTTTTTCCCCTTTCAGTATGCCAATTTATGTAATGTGATCGTGTGCTATCTATGTAATTGAATATTCCTGCTTCCGGTTGAGTTTATGATTGGTTAAAAAATTAGTTTATTTTATCTGCTTGATTCTGATTTCTTTTTGGTATAATCGTCGTGTAATTTATTGAGCTTAGCAGTTAGGAGTCAGGACCAAAATTTGTTATCTACAGAATTTTGTTGTGTAGTTAGTAGACTGCATTTTGCAGGATCAAAATTGAGATGTTTTATATAGTTCCAAGACCTCTTATGATAACCTTACATATATAGAACCAAACATGCACTTCTACCGATTTTTCTTTCATTTATTTTTATAACATAGAAATGGAATTTTAACTTCACTTGATGAAAAGCAGATATGTTTTGAAACTCTACTAATGCTCGAAAATTGATCCTATTGTCTCCAATTTCAAGAAATGCATTGCCCCCTAGATATCGAGCATTTGTGAGCCCATTCAAAGCTGCCATACGAGTTTAGTCTATTGTTTTTTGTAGGACAGGATGCTGGAGGAGCTACACATCCAAGGGAAAACAGTCAATGATATTACCGATTGTTTAAAAACCATGCCTTTGCATCCAGATGTCATTGCAGTTATAAAATCAGCTCATGCTCTGGGGTATTATGATCTCAATAATTCTATTTTTCCCCATTAGGAATTTGTGTAACATTGATGTGAAAGTGCATGTGGTTCTTTTTCAGGTGTGACTTGAAGGTGGTTAGTGATTCGAACCACTTTTACATCAAAACTATTTTGGAACATCATGGAATATATGACTGTTTCTCAGATATTGTCACGAACCCTGCCGTCTTAGATGGTGAACGGCTTAGGATATTTCCGTATCATGATGGTGTTTCGTCACATGATTGTGATCTTTGCCCTCGCAATTTATGCAAGGTGCAATCAGTTTTAACTTTTAAGCATTCACATACATTTTTGTTAACTGTTTATTTGTTCTTCATGTGAATCATATGTATACTATTTTGGATGTCACTCTGAAAGGCACAAGATTATCTAGTTTTACTTTTATACTTACAATCTCCTATTTGTATCCACTATGTAAGTATTTAGTGACTATTTATCTTTGATTATTACTTTTTGCTGCTGACATATATTCATAAGTTTTATTGTGTAAATGTTAATTGACAACTATTTTCCAACTTATATACTTCATTGTAGGGCATTGTGATTAAGCAGATCCAAACCTCTGTGACTGAAAACGAGAACAAAAGAATAATATATATTGGAGATGGGATGAACGACTTTTGTCCAACCCTGAAGCTTGTCAAACGAGATTATGTTTTGCCAAGGAAAAACTTCCCTTTATGGGGTCGAATTGCGAAAAACTCCGAACTCGTTAAAGCAAAGGTTTTCGACTGGGGAAGTGGTGAAGATCTTGCCAAGATCCTGCTCCAACTTATTAACAGCTAATCCTTTGAAGCGGATATGTAGTGAGACTCGAACTGCTCAATTCTAGTTATGCACTGAGTAAAATGTATAGTGAAAAGTATCCTATGATGTCTCGTAGAGAGTAAATAGCGGCTCATTTGTCATTGTGTTTAATTATGCTGGCAAAATTCAAGATTCTTCTTTAATTGGTTGGTTAATAATTTATTACTGTGAGCAACTATTCATATTGAGCATGAAGATTTGTCCGGGCGATGCTGTCTTATATGCTTAACATGTATAATTGTATTAATCGAGATATCGAGTACAAGGATTAAGAAACCAATTTAAATAACTGATGTTATTAATTTCTTTCTTTTGATTTTCCCCCTTTTGTATTTTGTTATAGCTGTTCTGACTGTTTTACCATATCTCAGCGTTTGCTCATGTAGAAATCCTTGTTTTCCATTTNGTATTAAATAATGTAAAGGTTCCTCAAAATAAATTTACATATATTGAATTATTATTTTTTTGCATAAACTAATGTGAAATATTTTTCTCATATAAGTTTCAAATATTTATGTTAATAATATAGTGGTAGGTGTATTATATTATTTTGCCCTGTTACATCTCTTCGACAAGATTTGCATGCGATTGCATATACTAGTAGAAATAGCAATTGATTTTCATATATATTTTTATTAGAATATATTAAAAATTCTCGAATCTATTTGGATATACAATCCTACTAGATATTGGAAAATCTTCAAGCCCTATCTTAAGATATGATCTCATATCGACCTTATTGTTAAAAAAACTGAAGTGAACTTCGGGTTATTATCGAGAACTATTCCGTAGTGAACCAAAATAGCTGGCTATGTCAATGTGAAAGAAAAACTCTTGAGTAATAGAGTATATTGAAGAGAACGAGTATGTAACTACTAAAATCCTTGGTGTTTTCTTTTT